AATAATATCCTGAAGAGCTATAGATGTTTTAGTTTACGGCAGGCAAAAACATCATAATGAAAAGTGAAGTCGTTGCCATGACGACTATCTCAGCACAGCTGTTCTATATTATATAATAGTTCTAAAAATAGTTTTTTATCACAATGCCATAACTTCGTCAATCCTTCATCAAATCAAATGATTGAGCCCTCATTTTAAAGACCTTCTTCATCTTCAGGTGGGAAAAATAGTCACATAAAAATAGTCTCCCGAAATTTATGGGAAAAAAAGTTAAGAAAGAAAAGAAACTTTATTTTGAATAACTCAAAAATTATATCTTTTTTTATTGTACCCATGGTGGTTAGAAAGGTTAATGAATTAACTATAAAACAAAAAAATCAGACAATTATTAACATTGATATAGTCCATTAGTTTTGGTATACTTTATAATTTCTTCCTCTTTAAAGATACTGCATTTACGATTATATTACTTTTTTTTTTCTGGCTGATATTATTTCTTAAAGGCATTTTTTTGTTTGTACATTTTATATTATTAATAATTTTTCTACTAAAGTTTCGAACATCAAACTGATCCAATCCTTCCAGTCTAAAGTCCTCTGTGTAATAGTCAATGCTCCTTATTATGTTACGAACAAAACCTTCCATCATGATCTTTACACCCTTATGTCCTTGACGTTATTCCCTTCCGATTTTCAAATTTTCATCATCCTAATCCCTAAGCACAATTCTTATCCTGTTCCAGTCTTCTCTACAATCCTCCTAGAAGGTTGAAATGGCAATGGCCTCGAGATCTTTTGTAAAGACGTCATTGCAGTCCTGGCGATGGCCAGCTTATCCACTCAAGTCATGAGCGTACGTGGCTTTAGTGCCCTCTCTTAGTCTCCACTGGATTCCCATCCCAGTGATGCGGCTGCGAGAGAAGCGCTGGGATCGCTTGCCTTATCCTCCACAGTTGGGAGAAAGGGCCCGACTCGGAGCTCCCTCTGCTGACTGTAAATATTGTAAATAAGTTTGAATGTGTTTCTTTTTTTTTTTTTTTTTTTAATTTTTATTTATTTATTTAGACATATAATATTCTGTCACAGGGACAATAATTATATTGATAAATGAACACATTCACACCGTATATACAAAAAAAATAATAATAAAATTAACAAAAGTAAAATAATAACTAAATAATAATAAATAAAAACTATATACAATAAAAAAAATAAAATAACCTAAATACAAGTAAATTAAAAACAGTCACTGTCAAATGTGTTTATTTATTTATTTTATAATTTTATTTTTATTTTTATTTAATGTTGTCTCATGTTAGATTTATTGTGTTATTTCAAGTTTTCTTTTCTTTTCTTTTGTTATAATTTTGTTTTTCTTTTATTGTATATATGTTATGATTGTGTTTCATACATCCCAAATACTCAATGCCCTTAATTAAGGTAAAATGTATTTTTTTTCTCAATAAAAATATATATTGATAATAAAAAAAAAAATCGTTCACTAAACAAAATTTTCAGTGAGATATTTGCACGCAGTTATACAAAAAAAAAAAAATAATTGAACCTGATAAATACTTATAAGATGATATTAAAAGAACTATAAAAGCAATGAAATATTCTCACTTATTGAAAGCGTACACATTGTAGTGATGGCTATAATGGAGATGGTGTGGTCAGCACGCTAGGACTGACTGTTTTATTTTTCAGTAGGCTTTAATGACGAGGGAGGAGGTAATGGGTAGGGAAGCTTAGCGATAATTGGCCCGCTGAGGGAAGGCAGTAGTGATGAGTTGAACGGTTCGTAATATTTTAGCTAGGGTCTAAAATACTCTTATTCTTTTATCAAAACTTTAATGTTGTCAAGTTTGTTCAATTGAAATAATAGTCCATCTTTGATTTATTGAAGTTATATAATTACTCAATATTTCCTTGCTACCTTCCTATACCAGGCCATTAGAACTCGGCCTATATTCTAGAGATCCTATATTTTGACTAAACTCGGTGTATTATTGTATAATTAAGTGGTCTTTAATATCATTAAGGTCTTATCCCCGTTGATGTCACTTTACAGGGCTTAAATGACCAATGTTCATAAGCGCCTTCGTCTAAAGTACCTTTAATGTGGTTAGGGTGTTGTGTGTTGCGTAGTGTGTTGCGCGCTCCATATTTTTTCCTAAAGCTCAGACTCATATATAATTCCTAGCGCCTCCCGAAAACGATAGTCTTAATTTTTATTTTTAAATTAAAATATCGATAGTCAATAATATTGAAATAGATACTATCGATGGCAAAATATCGAATATCTAGCCATCCCTATCGCCCAGCACTGTGCAGTTTCTTAATATTAATCATATAAAAGATGATTTTTTTCTTTTATATGAGATATGTTCTTATCCGTCCATGTGATTATTCATTGAATTTTAAATAACTATCCTTTCTTCTATCCGTTAAAATTTAACTACGGAATTACCTCCATGTTGTATTAATTTCCTTAATTCCAGCACGGTAATTCTCAAATAACAGCTGACTTTCATATCCAGCTGGCATTGATCTCTCTATAAATCATGTATTTATCCCTCCCCCGCCCTCCCCTCAAGTTAAGGCCCCCCTAATTGAGAAGGCAGCGAGTTAGCTTGCCTTTGGGACCGGTCCCTTCTGGGAAGAGCAGGAGTCGTGATTCCGTCTTGAGATGTTTGCATTGCTAATACCTCTCTCATGGTCGCTTAGTCTAACGAGCTCCCGTTTAATATTATCATTTTTATATTATTAATTTTATTATATCAACTATTTTAATTATTATTATATTTTACTTGTATAATAACTTACTAGGTTACTCTGTAGTTACGTCATTTAGATGAATTATAAGACTGGTACAAATCAAGGAAAATTCGACTAAACCACGATAAATTGAAACACATTTCATTAAACTCCGAAGAAATACCTGCACTCAAATTTATATCGAAAACACCCGAATACCTCAAACGGATACCGTACACTACCTTGGTCTTATCTTTGATAGAAGAATGACATGTCAAAATGAAACGGAAGGCCTTCCATAGACGACTGAAACTATTATACTCACTTTTTTCCAAATCTTCGAAATTAGAACTGAGACAGAAACTAAATACATATCTTTACTTAATAAAACCTATATGGACTTACTCCTCGTAGATATAGGATATAGCTAAAAAGACCTACTTACTCAAACTTTAAACAACAATAAAAAATATTACGACTTATAACTAAAGCACCTTGGTACGTGACAAACGACTTCGCAATAATTTACACGTCTCATTTTGACAGGTGCGTTCGGTTAAGGCATCATTCGCATAAACACAATTTTTCTATGAGCTTCTGCAGCACGCTTTCCTTTTTTAAAATAATACAATAAAATATACCGATAATGAATGATATTTTGTTCCATATTCACAATGCAATAGCAAACACAATACTAAGCTGGTTTCAAAAAGAGTTTACAGATATAGTTTTTGAACGTTCCTCTATCAAATCATTAACAACCATCGTCCTTCTCACGCCTACAACCTTCTCCAGTTCAAGTCCTCAGTCCATTCCCTTTCAGCAAGATCTCGACCTTCTGACCTCTACATCCCTTCGCACAGATTTGCCTCATTTCAGAATTCCTTTATAGCTCGCGCTGTCAACTCCTGGAATTCTCTACCTATCAAAATTCGGCATTTCCCCTCCATATCCATATTCAAATCCCTCCTATTCCAATTCCTATCCCAAAAACAGTCAGATACTTGCTAAACTTTCGATATTATACATTTCTAGTTATCATCAAACGATAGTGCTATTCTATACTGTGAACTCCACTAGAGATATTACAATATTTTCCGGCTCTTAATGCCACTGACCGCATCTATTGTTTGCTTTTTTTATTTTTATTTTTATTATTATTTTTTATTGGCATATAATTAAATTTGTATCTCTAGCATTTGACAATGATGAGTCTACACATTAATCATTATTTAATGACACTGATATTTTATATTGTCAGCTTTGTTTTTTCTTTGTTAGCAGAAACACACCTCATTTTAAAGAAGAACTCAATGTATTTTTTATTATTTTATTTTTCAAAAGAGTATAATTATAATTTTTCCTACTGTACATAGTCTTAAGTGTTTTATCATAGTTTTAATTGTTTTGTATATAGATTTTTTTTTTTTATATAGCTTTTTTAACTAATATTTTCTTTACTTTCTCTTTTTTATTATTGTTTTATTTTGGCCAGATGTAGTATTTTAATTTTAATTTTAATTAAGTGTATCATAGTGACAAAAAAATAAAATGAAAAATCGAAAGGACTTATTCGCCAATCCAATACATTTTTTTTCCTGGTCAGCTTTTGTTACCTTATCTTCCTTCCAGTATGCGATCATATGTCTTGAAGTGATCATTGGTTTGCTTTAGTTTTCTATCCTGAGGATGCCTGAATTGGCGAAAAGTTTTTTTATTTTTTAAGTGTATTTTAGGAACATAAGACTGATTTATTTATATTTATATTTTTTACTGATTTATATTAATCATATTACTTACTTATATGATTTTTCATTGCTAACCCTCTTCAATGTTTAAAACGTTGGGGCGCGATATCTGGATATTTTTTATTTAAAATTTGTTATTTACATGAATACTCTATATTTAGGTATTCTAGTGTTAATATGAGTGTAATGAAAGAATATCAGTGGTAAAAACATGTAAAAGACATGTGATTAGAAAATAGTAGACCAAGACGTGGATGGGATGACTTTGTTGGTAGATTTTGGAGGATCAGTTAAAAAAGTTGGTGACTGTTTGAGCTTAGATAAGGCTTTTAGTTTACTTAAAAACATTTTGAAAAATATCAGAACAATATTATTTGTTGAAAGTAAGAAAGTAGGTGTATAGGATACTAGCGTAGTTTTATTCTCGCCGAGAGGATTTTCGGCAGCGAATTTAGGAGCTCATTTCGAGTAGAGCTTGGTGGGGGGAGGGGGAGAACTACGTAGTGAAAACAGCTCCCGCGGTCGAATTTCCTCCTAATCTTCTCCTGGACACAATTTCCACAGCTGATGGGTTTTCCGTCCTGGAAGATAATCGAGTTGCAGGGTAGTTAGCACGGCGGTCCTTTCGCTTAGTTATGGCTCCAGCCAGTTCGGCGAGTTCGGAGGTCCTCCAAGAACCTCTGTCCAGTGGATCTAGTAAGGTACCTCTCTGCTCTGGAGTGTTTAAGGAGCGAGGTGTACACCGGATGTCTGCTACATCACTATGGTCCTCAGCACTTCACTTTTCCGAGTTTAATTAATAATTAATTATCCTCATCATCCTTTAATTTTCTCTCTACTTGTATATATAAAGTTTTCCTGTAGATTATAAAATAAACTTTATTCTGTTAAGAAGTTCCTTATGAATTACAATTATGAACAAAAAATCTGGATAAAAATTATATTAATCAAAATAAAGAACATATACAATATCTTCAATGAAAGTATATTATAAAAAATAAAAAAGTAACATCATTTTGAAAAACAAACAACAATTATTTAAACGAAAAGAAAAACAGAAATAAGGTAAAACAAAAAGCAAAATAATACAAGCATGGGTTGATTTTTAAAATTAAAACTATTTTTTTCAAAAATAACTGAGATAGCCCTAAAGATTAGAACAGGATTCCATACGTAACATGTATAATACTGACTCTGACAATATTATGTACATATACATATGCGATTTTCATATTTAATTGTATAGATTATTGCGATATATATATTAAAAATTTTATATATAAGGGTATTTAAACAAATAAAAAATACCGACAATGAAATATAAATAAACTAGCTTTCCCCTGCGATGCTGTGGCTTAGCCTGCCAAAATGAAAAAAAAAAAGCACATATGAGTAGATTAAGAGCAAAGGATGCCTGTCATTTTTAAAAAGTTGGGAAACAAATTCGTCTGTAAAATGGCTTCAATTTAAACTAATTCTAATGATTTTTTTTTCTCAAGATTCAAATTGAACATTCATAATCATCAGAAACAGTCTGAGTTGAACTTATAAAACTAAAATAAAAAATTAATATAAAGAATGTATAATAGTATTGACCTACATAAGGAGAATCATATAACTTCTTCAATTGATAATCTCAATTACTTTGGTAATTATAAAATTTTCGATTAATCAATAAAAAAAAAAAAAAAAATGCTTGCCTGTCTTCGGTAGTGAGGAAGCAAAAGGAAACGACCTTTTCTGAAGAGAAAGCAGTAAATGATGTTTAAAACTCAATAACTCTGCAACGAACCGTCCAATGTCGATAATTTTTTATTTATTTTGTCAGCAATTCAGAAATCTTTCATATAAATATGGGTATTATCAGTCGAAAATTGTATACTTTTTTAGCTATCGTCAAATAAAATATTGAATTCATCGTAACATTTTTACGGAAATACTTATGTTTACGAAAATTCTCAAAGATAGGTCATTTTCAATCAAGAGATTAGTTCACTGTTTCGATTCAGTGAGTTCCTAAGAACTAAAGAACACTCTTTTGCTTTCCACTTAAATCGTCAGATAATTTGATCACAAAATGGAAAAAAAAGACCAAACTAAAGAAATATTAGGCCGTTTGACTTGACCTCCAGCCCAACATTTCGAAACACCGAGGTTGTACAGGCCAAATTGGCTAATATTTTTGTAGGTCAGCTTCTGCTTAATAAAAAGAGAACTGTTGTGCAAATGCTCTCCACCTCAAAAAATGCTCTCTTTAAAAATCAGTATCAGTATTATCAGTATTTTAATCACAGTTTTGTTTTCAGTTCCATGCTAGGCCGTCAGGTAAGCCTTACCAGTCTTTGTACTGGAACAATTAGTGCCTTGTGCTGCGTTATCTCAGTCCTCGTGCGTCAGAGCATTATGTTCCATGATTGATGGTGGGGCTTTACGTTTTGAAGGGTGTCTGTCATCGCTTTGTGTATACATATATATATATACTTCGCTTTATATATATATAATCAAAGAAAAATCATGCTTGGCAAAGATCTTTTTCTGCCACAAGAGAGAATAATCTAAGGGTTGTGGAGAGAGTCACTCCAAATATCCTGCTGACCAGAAGGGAAGAAGTGGTACTGACCCGGGTAAGAATCGGACACATTAGGCTTACCCACGAATATTTAATGAGGAAAGACTGTCCTACTCCAATGTATTTCCTGCGGGGTAGCTGTCGCAGTGAGGTCATATCTTAATCGAATGTTAAACATTCCAATCTCTTAGGGATCAACATCTTTTCAGAAATAGCCTTGAAGAATCACTCCAAAAGGCTATTAAAAACTTAACAATGTTCGTTAAAGAAATCAAAATATTGTAATCACATCTACAAATTTGAATAAAATTTAATCACATATTTGATTGTAAATATACCTGTTATTTTTTTTAAGTTTGTAGGTTCCTCTTCAAATTTTAAATATACCTGTTAATTTTTCTTCTTTTAATCTTAATTTTTAATTATAACGGTTTTTCAATTTTTCTTCTTGTAATTTTTAATACTTAAATTGAACTTTTCTTCTTTTAATATTAATTTTATTATTAACAAATAAAAGATATAGCTTAGAAGTAGTTACCTAGAAGGATACAATAAGGCCCATTATCAAGACTTAGGGAACAATAACAGATTTCAGCAAAAGGACCTTTCTCACGTATCTCATATCAATAATAACGGATAAGGACATCGATTCTCAACAGTTAATAGCTCCAGCCCTTTCCCATAGACATCTTAAGAATATCAATTATTGATAACTTCATTTGAAGCCTTTTCTCAGGCTCCTTAGACCTCCCAGAATTCCTTCACCCCCTACTATTCCTGGGTATATTACCCATGGTCCTCTAGACTAATCACTCTTGCAGTTACATTCTTGAAGTTACATTCTTTCCAGGGGAACTGGAGTGAACTGTTGTAGTTAACCCATATATTTATAGTATATTTCTGTATGTTAGATGCCATTTGTAACAGACATTATGAATATTTATTTATTTATAACAATGGGGGGCTCCTTCAGCTCTTACCGGTCATTATAGCCATTACAAAATATTTATATCACATCAGATGAAATTAAATTTAACAACAAATTGAAAGCACAAAATATTAAAAAAAAAAAAGAGTCAGCAAAATTTAAAGTTTGTTGTATAGGTGCGTTATTTGAAGAAATGTAAACAATTTTTTAGCCAATTTGGTGGTGTTTTTCAAAATTTCAGTTATATCATTCTCCAATTCAACTTCATTCCGTTGTGTTTCATATGCATAATATTCAGTCAAAATATGCTTAACTGTTAAATTGACCCCGCAGCAGAGACACTGAGGGGGGGTCCCCTTTGTCATTAGGTATTCATTAAATATCATAATGAATCACAAATAAATACGTAAAATGCTTAGGGAACATGAAGTTTCGATGCCGATACCAAGTCGCTCTCTATGTATTTCTTTCCACCGGCCGCCAAGACTAAAGCTGCCTGACTCTTGCAAGACCAACACCAAAAAAAGACAGATAAAAAAAATCGATTTTTTAAATAAAATATCTCGCATTTGAGCAACACTACTCATGAGTTAGCTGTGAGTGGCCGATTCGGAGCCTTGTCAGTATTATTTCTTATGATAATTAATTTATTCTGATGACATTATGAATAAAAGTATTACTTATAAAGTCTTCACTCAGTCATTCAAAAATTAATCAGTAATTGAGAAAGATAAATTCTCTAGATTGTTGGCTCTAACAAGATGGTCACTCACATAATATTGACTACTGTTGATTGCGTGTTTCTTCGGGGCCTATAATATGCCGACCTGGAGGTAGGCCTTGATCGAACGCTTGCAGGTTATCAGGGCTTGCTAATCTCCTCCAGAGCAGGCCCACGTGCCTTCCAGGAAGGAGATCATTATTCTCATCTCCTGCCGGAGCCTGGAGCAGATGGGGTCGCTGGAGGAGAATATATGTCAGCGGTGGGGCATGGATCTGTCTTCGACTGGAGAAAATTATTGTATCTTCTGTCTAATCGCCATTGGATGATTTGGCAACTTGATAGTTTCCAAGAATAAATTAGTTTTATATCGCTGTTTCTTTGCTACCGAAGGTATATCAGGAATTGTAAAAAAAAAATGTATCCTTATAATCCAATACTTTACACTTTGAGAGAGCAGGCCGGGCACAGATAGTAGAATACCATTCTTTCATAACTTACAGAAAAGAAATACTCTACAAATTAATTCATTCATAAATAAGCTTTTAGTTTTCTAAAAATAGTTTCTTACTGACAATATTATAATTGCCACGATGAAATTACAATTATAATCAATATCAAATTTTATTTATTTTTATTAACTTATTTATTGAAAAATATTACGATCTGTCTCTAGAACATTTATAATAGAGTTCACAGATCACATCCACACCCTATGTACGATAAATTATACAGAAAAATAATATATATACAATAAATAAGAATAAAATAACCTAAAAATAAATAAATAAAAAGAACACATACACACCTACATACAATATATATATATATATATATTATCAAATTAACGTTTAATAATACTTATTACTATTTCAAGCTAATAGAAATTTCATATTTTTGTCCGATGCTCACTTCCGCCAACACTTCCTACCTCACTCCATTAAGATGACCAGGGCGAATTATTTGGAATTATTCAAAACTGACAATGAAGTCTTTATGAGGTCATTTATTTTCAATTAATAACAACATTACAGATATATTTTCAAAACTTTGAAGTTTATTTATCGTGCATGTCGTGTTATATTGTATCATCTAGTATTTACTATTGACATGTTAATATATTATATATTATATACTATGCCTGTCGTTATCTTTATTACTGGTGCTATTTGCCATTTTATTGCTTGCTATATTTAAATATATTATTCTGAATTATTGTATTATGTGGGGTATTATATTATATTTCATTGTTTATATTTAGGCATACAGTCAGATGCTTGGTTATTATCAGGAGAGGATGTTGTTAAATCCTAATGAATTTTACTTCGTATAAAAGTTGTAAATATATTTGATATCAATTTGGTCATTGTAGCCATTATAGCCAACTCTAGTTATATGGGGCAATCTCCGAAAACAAATAAATAAAATTATTATTATTGACAATATTAGCGGATTTGAATCATAATGATATTAAAGAATTTAATTTTTGTGCGCAAGTAGACAATAATTGTTTGAAAAAAAATAAATGTATAAAAACTCATTAATACATATATGCAATATATAAAATCAGGCAGGGAAACCCAAGCTGGTATAATGTAGGAGATATCTTTGTATGCGCCATATTGCTTATTTGTACAAATACCTGAACTCACTCTTATGTATTCCTCATTAAATTCATATGTCTATTTCAAGATCATATGTTTACTACAGTGTCTTTATTTTTAATATTAAGAATTTTTATTATTATGAAAAATTTACATGTTTCTTTATTTTAATATTAAGGTTAGACTGCTTTGTACTTTATTTTAATATTACCCCCATACCAGACTGAAACGTCTAGAAACCGCCCGACGTTTTCGACTACTTCAACACTTACTAGACAAACGCTCTAACCTTCCAATCAGTTATAAAAGACTGATTTACATGACTATAATAAGGCCTATTTGGACTTACGGAGTTGAGCTATGGGGCTCCACCAAACCTTTAAATTCCTCTCGTATCCAATCCTTACAATCCAAAATCCTTCGTAAAATCCTCAACGCTCCTTACTTTGTCACAAATAAAATCATCCATAAAGATCTTAATGTTCCATATGTTTCCGATTTGGCCCAATCCAGATACCTATCCTTCCATAACAAACTACAGAACCATCCGAACCCTCTCGTTTCAAACCTTGCTTCCTCCTCGATCCCTGATAACCCTCCGAGGCGTCTGAAAAGAAGATGGCCTCGGGACCTTCTAATATAGAACTTTAATTTGAGTTCTACCAATGGGTAGTTTCTCTTCATGTTGTACATGTCATGTTACCAATGTCACATTTACTTGTATTTTTCATGTAATACAGTTTTAAATTTCATTAAAATAAATTTAAAAAAATGTTAATATTAAGGTTAGACAACTTTGTTAATTAATTTATTTTTAATTGTCATTTAATTATTCAGGGTTGCTAGACAATTGTCATTTCTTTGGCATTATAGTTATTCTGACGGGACTAAATTTCCCTGAATGAAATTTACTTTCTTTCTTTATATCTAGTACAGACCCCTTTTATCAAATTATTAGTATCCGCCTTACACTTCGAAATAACTTCATCTCATGGTAATCTACAAACATTTTATTTACGGAAATTTTCAGAATTGGAAAGTTTTCAATCTGGAGATCGGCAAAAATTATCTATTTTATTTGGTACTAAAACTCATGAATACCCACTTGATTTTCACTGGAATCTTAAGATAATATGATTACAAAATCGAATTAAAAGATGACCTATAAAAATATTGGGGCGTTTGACCTATTATAACCTTCCTTAACCAAATAGGAAGTGTATGAAGCCAAGGAAGTGATATCAACTGGATAATATCCCTCCCTCCTCTATAGCGGTAAACTTTTTTGTTTTGTTTTTAATAACGGTAATTGCAGGTACAATAATATCTTATTCATATTTATTCTTGTTACATGTTTACATTTAGTAGCAGAAGTATAATTTAAGATAATTGTTTATATTATATATTTATTGAAATTTACAACTGTATTAGATAAAACTACAAGCAAATTTGAATTGGTAATATGACGTGTAGAGAAAAAAAATGATTGTAACACTCTTATTATAGTTCTATATTGTTATATTGAGTACAGATTGATGAAAATTGGAGAAGACGGACAAATGACGAATTCGCTCAACTTTTAATGATCAAGATGTACTTCTGAGGATGAAGCTTGGAAGATTAAGATGTGCTGGCCATGTGGCAAGGATGGAGAATGAAGCAATCTCTAGGATGATCGTGACAGAGCCTCTCTAGAAGATGAGGTAGAGCAAAACTAAGATGGTCAGACGGTGTGGCAAGAGATTCAAGGGATATCCTGGGAGTCAGGAGCTGGATGATGGCCGCACAGAACAGAGATGACTGGAGGAAGCTGGTGGAGGAGTCCAAGACTCATCACCGAGTTGATAATAATAAATAATTTCTTATTTTCTTTTAATAAACAAAATTTATTTTTTTAAAACAATTATAGTATTAGAAGCACCATCAAATGAAAACTCCCTCTTTGACAAAGTATTTTAACTTCCTGACAAAAGCAGAAGGTACCCGAGGCCATATTATTTTCAGACACCTCGGAGGATTTTTAGAAACTGAAGAGGATGCAAGATAGAAACAAGTAGATTGGACGGGATTCATTAGAGAAGCATAGGTATCTGTATTAGGTTAAGTCAGTAACATATGGAAGATTAAAGTCATTATGAATAATTTTATTTGGGACAAAATAGTCAGGGGTGTCCCCTCCCCCAATGAAATTTTACTACCCGCCTCTTCTCAAACACTTGCAAGCAAAAGAAGAATTGGAAAAATTATATATTGTAAAATTTGCTGTAATCTGGTCCAATTAAGTCCGACATCGGATCCTGCGTTTTTAAGCCTAAAAACGTCATATTTTCGAGATAACGCAAGGCATAGGGTTCGCATCCACACAACCTTACATTAATTTTATTACTTTCATTGAATACATGTCTCATTTCGTCGACTTGAGGTCTCTGTGATCGAGAGAGGAGGAGTTTATATTATTTATCGATGGTGTATTTGATCGGCAAGCCATATCATCGTCAATTTTTCACCAAATCTCAAGATTGAGCCACCAATTTCGAAGGCTTCCTTCTCCTTCAGGCGGACAAAATAGTCCAATCAGCCCGAAAATTCAGGGAAACAAGTTATAAAGAAAACTTTATTTGCGAATACCTAAAAAATTACTCACTTTTCCCTTATGCCCGTGATTATATAAAAAATTACCTAATTCCCTACAAAAAGGAAAAAAATCATTGAAATCGGACAATTTTTAGCAAGGATATAGCTAATTGAAATTCGTAAAGATGTTGGTTCCAAACATTAATGACGATTTAAATTAATATTTGTTTTCTTTGTCGATTATATTTATCGATAAAGTAACATTTGATTTCTTTATCTTTTGATACGTTGCATTATTTTATTTTCTTATTAATTTGGCATTTGATATCAATATGCTGTTCGAATTTTTCGCACTGGCATACTAGTATATAATATATGCAAATGTGAATATACCTCTATAGATCTACAGGAGAGATTGAAAGAAAAGGAAAACGGAAATAATAGTCAGAAAAGAATGCGGAGAAAAAAAAAGAAAGTCGGTTCGAAATGTTGATTTTTAATAAAATAGTTTTGCTTATTTATGACCGCCCCCGGACCATCTCCTTTCTTTATAATGCAACGGTCAACTATTAAATATTCAATTTTTATTTTTTTAACTTGTATATATGGGTTTAAATATGAAAAAAACAAAATTGCTAACACGGGCCACCAAGGGAAAACTTTTTGCAGCCAAAAAAGTCAGATGTTTTTAATTTTTATTTTTTCACCTATAATTCCAAAACGATGCATCAAATCGAAAAATGTATTCTTCGTAATTTACGTTCAAACTCTCGCTTGCGATTTCTGGGTCCTGACTTGAGGGCTAATAGGGACTACCCGAGGTCCGTAGAAGTGTGCCTTAGGTCAGGACGATCCCTCCCACAGCCGCAGGCAGCCGCAGCGAAGTGCCTTGACCCCCAACGGTACAGGCCACCGTAATGAGGTACGCAGAGATTAGAGTGCACTAATTACAGGAGCCGCAGGAGACAAATGGCCAACAGCCACGTGGCATTGAGCATTCTCTCCCGAGTTTACTGACCCAGCTCATAATGAGACCAGTCCCCCTCGACTCGCCTCTAGGCTTCTGGTCCTAGGCCTCTCCACGTGTGAGCCAGGATAACTGTCGTG